ATTTTCAAGGACTTACTGAATTGGAATATTATAGAAAATCTGATTTTGAGTCTTTTTCTTTTTAATTTTTTGAGACAGAGTTCCTCTATAGCTTTGGAGCCTGTCCTGGAACTTGGTATTGTAGACCAGGCTGGCCTCGAACTCCCAGAGATCCGCCTGCCTCTGCCTCCCGAGTGCTGGGATTAAAGGCGTGCGCCACCACCGCCCTGATTTTTAGTCTTGAAGGACTGCAAGTTAAACCATGTTGAAGTAGCGTAATCAATAATGCCACTCTTTTTATTTTGTCATTTTATTTTTTTATTTTTTTATTGAAAAAAATTCCGCCTCCTCCCCGCCTCCCACTCCTCTCCCCCTCCCTCTCCAGTCTGAAGAGCAGTCCGGATTCCCTGCCCTGTGGGAAGTCCAAGGTCCTCCCCCCCCTTGTCATTTTATTTCTTTTTGTATTATTTGTTGAAACATAATTTTCAGAATTTCCTAAAGTACTTTCTTCACATTTTCCCATCACTTTCTTCTAGGCAGGGTTTCATTATTGTCGGGCTGACCAATTCACAATATAGCTAATGTTGGCCTTGAATTCGTAATCGTCCTTTCTCCACTTCCCACATTCTGGGAATTCAGGTGTGCTATCCAACCCTTTTAATTTTATTAAATTAATAATAACTGGAAAAGTTATTTCCAGATAGGGTCTCATCAAGTTGAGCATACTGGTCTAGAACTTACAATCTTCCTGCCTAATCCTCCCAAGTAGCTAATATAGAAGGCATATGGTTTTTTGTTTGTTTGTTTGTTTTTTGTTTTTTCGAGACAGGGTTTCTTTGTGGGGTTTTTTTTTTTTTTTTTGAGCTTGTCCTGGAACTAGCTCTTGTAGACCAGGCTGGTCTCGAACTCACAGAGATCCGCCTGCCTCTGCCTCCCGAGTGCTGGGATTAAAGGCGTGCGCCACCACTGCCCCGCCCCATATGAACTGTTTTTTATTTTTTATGAAAGACTCAACATAATATTTTATAAATAAGGAGCACATGCTACTTTTCATCCTTTTTATTCTCATGAAATTAAAACATGATGGTCTAGGGAGATGGCTCAGTGGGTTAACTGCTGTCTACACAAGAATGAGTACCCAAGTTTGGATTCCTAGAATCCACTAAAGCCGGGTGCATAAATGCAAACCTAGAATCTCAGCATCCTGTGGATGAGAGGTAGAGACCAAAAAAAATCCCAGAAAACCTGAGGGACAGAAGCAGCAAACCAAAGACCCAAAGTTGTCCTCTAACCCCCTTCTGTGCATGTGGCTCACATGGTTCCTATGAACATGGACAGACACCCACATACAAGAGACTTGTAATATTTTTATATTTTGTGTAATTTGTTCCTGTAAATGTGAAGGTGTAGATTTAGGATAATTTCAAAGCAAATTCAAAAAAACAAAAAGACTATTTTCTCCTGCTTCAGCTGTGTTGGATTGCGCAGGTCTTGCTACCTAGAATAGGTAGCCTCTGGTGACGCCATATTGCATTTTCTATTGATTTGTTCTTTTTTTATTTATTTAGATTTGGTTATTTCATGTAAATAAGAAGTATAAAATCTAGAAGGGTTACATTATCATTTAAATTCTTAGTGCAAGTGTTACAACTCTGGAGGGAAAGTACCCTGACTGTTGGGGACAGGCTCTACCTACAGCTGTGGGGAGAAAGGTGTCCTGACTGTTGGGAGTCAGGCTATAAATACAGCATTGAAGGGAAGGGATGTTGAACAGCCAACACTGAGAGGAGAAAGGAATACCGACCGTCAGGAGTTCAGGCTGTCCCCGAAGCTGTGTTCTAGTCGGGGACGATCTCCAGTGGAGGTAGCACTCCTGCTTCTCTCCAAGCAGAGCCATTACAGCTGGGCCCTTGCCCACTGTTGACAGTTCCCAGCAGAGATCCCGTTGCTATTCTGCTCCACTCCCAAGGGTGTTTCCTAGCAGGGGGGTCAGTGCTTCTCTGCTCTGTTACAATATGGATGGAGTTCCCCAGCAGAGATGTCCATTTTTCTCAGCTATGGACCAAGTTTTTACTTTTCTGCTTCACTCAACTAAGGGGAAAACACCTACAGAAACATAGCAGTCTGCTCTGGCTCTACAAAAAACCTGCTACTGGGGCTGGAGAGATGGCTCGGCGGTTAAGAGCATTGCCTGCTCTTCCATAGGTCCTGAGTTCAATTACCAGCAACCACATGGTGGCTCACAACCATCTGTAATGAGGTCTGGTGCCCTCTTCTGGCCTGCAGGCAGACACACAGACAGAATATTGTATACATAATATATATTTAAAAAAAAAAACCTGCTACTTCGGCCCTGCACCCATAATGTTATTTCCAAGCAGAGGTGTCCCTTGCTTCAACTAAAAAAAGTCTTCATCCAAAAATCATTGGGAGGAAGAAATCCAGGATAGTCGATGCCTCTGCCAGGAACGGGCAGCTGCCAACTGAACCGACAAAGGGCATATATTGGGCTTCTTACGAGCAGGGAGATTTTCAGGGTGGGAACTTGAACAAACTCAGAGATTGGCTGGATTTTGGCTCAGCGATTGTTTGCTTCTGTGCTCAAGGATTTGTTAGCTTTCCTGCTTAGAGATTGGTTGGTTTCATGCTCAGTTGGTTAGGGATGGAGTGTGTTTCTTTGGCTCTGGTTTCAGGGTCAGAGTGTGTTTGACTGGCCTTTTTACCCCACACAATGGCTTCATAAACTCATTTTTTTACATTTGTTTGCAAGGGAAACAATGTAAAGTTGGACATCACATGATGGTTGAACAGATTGTTGACACAGTCAATATTTTTTCTACAAAATATTCTTGTGTAACCGAATGCAAGTGTGTTGAATAAAGATCTTACCCAATACTTTACAATAATAAGCCCTTGGTATTCTCACAGGTATTCAAAGATTATTGTAAGATGCAGACTTCAACAGATTGACTGCTCAAAAGTTTTCCTCCTATATACAACGCGAAGCTTCACCACATCAACTATATTTTTAGGGTTCCCTGTAGTATGGCTCCTCTCGCGATTTTGAAGGCTACTGACACATATAAAAGCTTTAGCACACTGATTACATTCATTGAGTTTCTCTCCATTATATGTTCTTTTATGTATTTGAAGATTACTGGGATGTGCAAAAGATTTACCACATTGTTTACAATCATAGGGTTTCTCTCCAGTATGTTGTTTTATTTGTTTAGGGATGATTGTGTTGTACAAAGCCTTTACCACATTGATTACAGTTATAGTTAGTCTCCAGCATGTCTTCTTTTATGCTTTTTAAGATACCTATGACACGAAAAGGCTTTACTACATTGATTACATTTGTAGGGTTTCTCTCCAGTGTGTGTTCTTCTATGTGTTCGTAGATGACTGTGGTCTGAAAAGGCTTTACCACATTGATTGCATTCATAGGGTTTCTCTCCAGTGTGTGTTCTTTTATGTATTTGAAGAGTAATTTGTTGTGCAAAGGCTTTACCACATTGATTGCATTCATAGGGTTTCTCTCCAGTATGTGTTCTTTTATGTGTTTGAAGATGACTCGAGTGAGAAAAGGCTTTACCACAGTGATTGCATTCATAGGGTTTCTCTCCAGTGTGTGTTCTTTTATGTGCATGAAGATTACCATGACGTGCAAACGCTTTACCACATTGTTTGCACTCATAGGGTTTCTCTCCAGTATGTGTTCTTTTATGTATTTGAAGATTTCTATGATGTGGAAAGGCTTTACCACATTGATTACACTCATAGGGTTTCTCTCCAGTGTGTGTTCTTTTATGTGTTCGAAGATTACTATGACGTGCAAAGGCTTTACCACATTGATTACATTGATAGTGTTTCTCTCCAGTATGTGTTCTTTTATGCATTTGAAGATGTCTATCATGTGCAAAGGCTTTGCCACATTGGCTAGATTTATAGGGTTTTTCTCCAGCACGTGTTCTTTCATGCCTTTGAAGATGACTGTCATATGCTAAGGCTTTAACATATTGAGTATATACAGAAGGTTTCTTTCCAGTATGACTTCTTTCAAGCCTGCAAGGATAATTGGTAAACATAAAACCTTTACCACATTCAATACACTGTTGAATCAATATATCTTATGAATAAATTTTACAATTTGGTCCAATTGTAAAGATACAATCTAAGATTTTACCACTGTGTTTATTAAGGGCCGTTTTGCATCTTTGAGGATACCTGTGATGGTAAGATCCTTTATTACATGGTTCGCATACACAGAATATTTTTCTATGAGATTTTGCACCTATTTCAAGAGAGCTGGAAAAACTGAGAGCGTCACCACTCTTATTGCATTTATAAATTATCCTATACTTTTGACTCATACTCTATTGTTAAGTCACCTAGGACAAACAGAAGTTTATGCTCAGCCCTAGTGCTCATAGGGCTTTTCTGCAGTGTGTGTTTGTTGATGTATTGAAGCTGGGAAACCAAATACTTGTATACTTGAATCAAATTCAAGAAGTATATTCCATGTGGGGACTGCTACATAACTTCTAGTTGTTCTCAGAGAGAAGAGTGTTATGCCTGCCCACACCCCTCTGCTCATGTGACTTGTATCCAGAGCGACATATGAAGAATAACAAATAAAAGGCGCACAGTTTGACTTTCTGTTTCTCATAGACATGTGGTATAGGGATTAAGATTTCTCGATAACAACAGCACCTTGGCTCTTGGCCCTAACTGCAGCTCTCACGATACACGGCACAGGAACAACAAGTGTATTAGTAATACTTGTTTTACTATGGGCTGTATGTTTATTACAAAGTTTTGGAGATATACTTATCACCTATTCAGCATGTATACCTTTTGTAAAATGAGTGGTATGAAACTAAATAGATCGGCAGGTCTACAGCATAGCTCTCATAGAACTATGATTCAGACGGTGATATCTGTTAAGGAACTATTTCCTTGTCTTCTCTCTTAATAGAATGCCTTGCAAATGCAATTCACCTACCTGAAACCGAGGTACATGGTTTTGTGAGAATTTATGTTTATTTACACTGTTGCTTCTGTTTACAACTTCAGGACACATTAGAATCCCTTCAGAGGCACGTTCGTATCAGCTTGCACATGATAATTACCTTCCATGTCTTTGAGAACTTTGACAATGTTCTTCAATATTATGGTCTTCCCAACTGTATCCTACAATATAGTACCAGAAAATATATGGTATATTATTGAAAATTGTGCAAACTTTAAGTTACTATCTTTGGTGAACCTTAGAGCCATGCCTGATTTACTCACCTCATTCTTCTTTCTCAATCAAACTACAGAAAAGCAGCAAGAATCGAGGTAACAGTTCTCCCCTTATTTCAAAACCTGAAGGAAGATCCAGTCTTACCTATGGCAGTGAGGTTCCTGTAGGTGTCCAGCATCACATCTTTGTAGAGATTCCTCTGGGAAGGATCCAGCAATGTCCACTCTTCCCAAGTGAAGTCAACATGCACATCATCATAGGTTACTGCGTTCTGAAATGACACATACATGTGCACAACAGAAAGTATGTTAATGGCAACACTGAAAATGTACACCTCTGACAGTATAGTCATATAATTGTGGTGTTCCTCCATTACATGATGTAGACATTATAAGGTAATCCCCAAGTCACTTTAGAAGGAAACTGAATAGGAGCTTCACCTCTGTCATTTCTGTACACTGCGAATGGGATCTCACCTTGCAAGAGAAATGACTACAAAAAATGGAGAAAGAAATAGATCAACAAAAGGAAACAAATCAACAGTTCAGAGCACACATGAATAAAAGTGTATAATTTCTAACTACAAAATAGAAAAATAAGATGGGTAAGCTGAGCGTATTGGCTCACACCATTGACCGCTGCACTCAGAAGTTCCCGAGGTGAATGCAGTCAGTTCCAGGACAGTCAGAAGTACACAGTAAGGCCCTGCCTCCAGGGGGAGAGGAGCTCAGCAGTTAAGAACACTGGCTATTCTTTAAGAGGCCCTGAGTTCAAATCTCGGTAACCACATGGTGGCTCACAACCATCCATAGTGAGATCTGGTGCCCTCTTCTGGCGTGCAGGGATACATGCAGACAGAACACTGTATACATAGTTAACAAATCTTAAAAATAAAGACCCTGCCGGGCAGTAGTAACATACACCTTTAATCCCAGCACTGGGGAGCACTCAGGAGGCAGAGGCAGGCGGACCTCTGTAAATTTGAGGTCAACCTGTTCTGCAAGAGCTAGTTTCAGGACAGGCTCCAAAGTTACAGAGAAACCCTGTCTTGAAAATAATAAATACATAAACAAACAAACAAAGACCCTATCCTCCATGCAAAAATCAAACAAAAAAAACAGATATTTTAGTGATTTTTTTTTTTGTAGAGTTAATATATTCGCTCCAGTTCTATTCGCTCCAGTTCTATATTCACCTTCCAGAAACCTGAACTACCCCAAATTAAACTGTAACATCAATGGTATTAACTGGTACTGCATGTTGTGGAGGTCCAGAAAGGTGAGCCTATTTCTACCTTGTCGGATGGTCAGAGTTTGGAGGTTGTTCAAAATGGTTGACAAGTGTAGCTACATGTCCCGACTCAGGATGTGTTTGCTTGGTTCTTTTGACATTAAGATGGCTCATACAGAGAGATCCATTCCATCCTCACAGATGTTCAGGACACGCATGTGCACTTCTGCTCCTCCTTTTGTACTGAGCTCACCTGGGGAGTGGCTGCCCTCAGGACACTCGGTCTAAGGTGGCTTCATGGCCTAAACAACAGAATGCTAATGACTTGGTGTTCTAGGTGTTGAAGCAATTCACTGCTCAACTTGTCATTTATATCATGTTTAAAAAGTCTTTTGTTGCCTTATGGAAAATTAAACACGGATGATTTCAGTATTCACGGGAACACCCTCCAGGGACTTTTCTATGGTTTCTGTTTTATTATTTTTTACAAGTCTTGGTATTTATATTTCTTTTTTTAATATTTATTTATTATGTATACAACATTCTGTCTGTGTGTATGCCTGCAGTCCAGAAGAGGGCACCAGACCCCATTGCAGATGGTTGTGAGCCACCATGTGGTTGCTGGGAATTGAACTCAGGACCTTTGGAAGAACAGGCAATGCTCTTAACCTCTGAGCCATCTCTCCAGCCCAGTATTTATATTTCTAAATCCCCAGACCCCTACCCTGGCAAGAAGTGGTTTTGTCAAGGCTTGTCCCCTACAGCATCTTTAAACAGTTACAAATGGACAGATGAAAATATTAGCAATACATATGTGGCGCATAAATAAATATTAGCAATACAAATGTGGTGCATAAATAATCAACACAGTGCAGAAGAGAACACTCAGTTCTTGTTGGTCTTACATATAGGTGGGCTCAATCGCCAGTACTTACTTGGGGGATCACAACTATCTATTATTCCATGTTGTAATAAGGACGCTTGTTGGTTCCTGGCCGCTTAGCCCCAAAATAATCACACGAAAACTGTACTAATTAAAATACTGCTTGGCCCATTAGCTCTAGCTTCTTTTTTTTTAAGGTTTATTTATTTATTTATTTATTTATTTATTTATTTATTTATTTATTATGTATACAGTATTCGGTCTGTGTATGACTGCAGGCCAGAAGAGGGCACCAGACCCCATTACAGATGGTTGTGAGCCACCATGTGGTTGCTGGGAATTGAACTCAGGACCTTTGGAAGAGCAGACAATGCTCTTAACCTCTGAGCCCTAGCTCTAGCTTCTTATTGGCTAAGTCTTACATATTAATTTAACCCATTTACATTAATCTGTGCATCACCACGAGGTTGTGGCCTACCAGCAAAGTTTCAGCCCGTATGTCTCCAGCAGCAGCTCCATGGCTTCTCCTTGACTCTACCTCCTCCCAACATTCAGTTTAGTTTTCCCCACCAACCTAAGTTCTGCCCTGCTATAGGTCCAAAGCAGTTTCTTTATTCATTAATGATAATCACAGCATGCAGAAGAGAATCCCACATCACCTCCCCTTTTCTGTCTAAATAAGAAAGGTTTTTGATGGAGGAAGTCATTGGCTAATAAAGAAACTGCCATTAAAGAGCCTCTTAATATAGTTACAGATTCACAATATGCAGAGTTATCTTGCATATTGAAACCGCTGAATTTATACCAGATGACACAGAGTTGACTTCATTGTTTATCCAGGTACAAGACATAATCAGGAACAGGCTTTGTCTGATGTACATAACACACATCCGGTCCCATACAGGTCTGCCTGGTCCTCTAGCACAAGGCAACGCTGAGATTGATCAATTGTTGATTGGAAGTGTGTTGCAGGCCTCAGAATTTCATAAGAAGCATCATGTCAATAGTAAAGGCCTAAAGAAGGAATTTTCCATTACATGGCAACAAGCTAAGGACATTATAAAGAGATGTCCTACTTGTTCTTTCTGTAATCAAACACCGTTGCCTGCAGGGAGTAACCCAAAGGGTACTAAGAGAAATGAAATCTGGCAGATGGATGTGTTCCACTTTATGGAATTTGGTAAATTAAAATATGTACACCACATCATAGACACGTATTCAGGTTTTCAATGGGTTACTGCCCTGAGCTCAGAAAAGGCTGATTCTGTAATCACACATTTATTGGAAGTTATGGCCATCATGGGTATACCTGCACAAATAGACAGACAATGGTCCAGCATATGTATCTAAGAAAATGAAACGCTTTTCTGCTTATTATAATATAAAACACATTACAGGTATACCAAATAATACTACAGGTCAGGCAGTTATAGAAAGATCAAACTGTACTATAAACAAACAGAAAGGGACCGAAAATACCCCCAGAAATAGATTACATAATGCTTTATTAACCTTGAATTTTCTTAACGCTAATGAGAAAGGAACGACAGTGGCAGAAAGACATTGGATAATGGAAAAGTCTGCTGAACTAAATCAACCGATTTATTTCAAAGATGTGCTGACTTCTCAATGGAAGCCAGGAGATGTGCTACGTTGGGGGAAGGGGTTTTGCTCTTGTTTCCACAGAAGAAAAAATGTGGATACCATCAAAATTAATAAAGTTTCGATTTGAAGAGGAGAAACCTCTTGGAAAGGAGAAATGACAGCTCATCCACAGTGATGATATTCATACAGGTGGTAAGAAAAACATATAGAATGGGGCAGGATTCTCTTATCTCTGCAGGAAAACACTCATCTTCAAAAAATTCAAGGGACCCTGGATGTTTGAATACTGACAGATGGAAACTATTTACAACCCAATAAGAATCAGCAAGAAAATCAAATAAGTCCCTTAAGTAAAATTATTCTACTCTTATCTTTAAATATGTATCAATGTGCATTTATTTATAAATATATAGAGCTGGTTTTGAAGTTGGACTCTGGCTCAGTCCCTCTCCAATTCCAAGCCTGTTGGTAAGAGAAAAACCCAGAGTTTCTGGAGTTTCTGTCTCATATCAAGAGCCATGATATGGGACAGAAAGAAATATGAGTTTAGAAAACATCTTTGCTTTTCTTCATATCTATCATACCTTTCATTGAATATAT